GTCGTCATCAGCAGCAGCAGCATCATCACAATCATCATCATCATCATAATCAACACCATCATCATCATCATCATCATCATCATCATCATCGCCAGCATCATCATCATCATCGTCATCATCATCATCGTCATCAGCATCATCATCCTCATCCTCATCCTCACCATCATCATTATCAGCATCATCATCATCATCATCATCATCATCATCATCATCATCATCATCATCCGCCTCCTCCTCCTCCTCCTGCTCCTTCTCCTCCTGCTCCTGCTCCTCCTCCTCCTCCGCCTCCGCCTCCGCCTTCGCCTTCGCCTCCGCCTCCGCCTCCTCCTCTTCCTCCTCCTCATTGGCTCAAGCATTTCACTCCTGGTCAGGTCCAGGAGCTTGGGGCTCGAACATTTCGCGTTCGCTTCCGCCCCCAGAGTTTTTTCGGATCATTCCCCACCAGTCTGTCATGCCTGCCACTCCTGCGAAGGAGCACCTCTCCATCGTGATCTGCGGGCATGTCGACATCGGCGAGAGCACCACCACCGCCGATGTCGACATGCCCGCAGATGTGGTGGTGCTCTCGCCGATGTCGACATGCCCGCAGATCACGATGGAGAGGTGCTCCTTCGCAGGAGTGGCAGGCATGACAGACTGGTGGGGAATGATCCGAAAAAACTCTGCGGCCTTCTGGAACGCGAGCTGGAGAAGCTGAAGGAGGCGGCCGTATGCCTAGTACCAGGCTCCATCGCCTTCACGTTCTACATGGACCGTCAGAACGAGGAGCACGAGTGCGGGGTGACCAGCGCATGCACCACCCAAGACTTTTACACCGAGAAGTGGCACTACAGAGTCGTCATCGATGCCCCAGGCCATCGCGATATCAACAAGGACGAAAACCTGAAGAAGAAGTCTGACGAAAGTACGGCAAGGACTGCGCCACCCACAGATACAAGCAGTTCTGCTATGCCGTAATCGGAAAGAAATGAAGATCATGCTGGTCAAGGACGGGTGGTGCAAGGACTTCGAAGAGAAGGAAACGCCTGCGATGCCTGTCTCCGGCCGGATGGGCGACTACCTGCTAACGAAGTCTGTCAACATGGACTGGTGGAAGGAGTGCGTCGACGAGTACGGCAAGGCCCGTGCCATGCAAAAACATCCATCATAATCGTTCCAGGATGGTTTTACCTTTCCCCGCTTGCCGTCTGAGGCAAGCCATGCTGCAATTAGGGCTCGCTCCTGCCCTTTGCATTTCGCTGCCCTTTGGTGCATAAGAATCGTGGAAGAGGCCCGCGGGATGAGTCTTCCCCGCTCTCCGTGATGAGCCGAGGTCTGCATCAGAGTTGCTTTGAATTTCTTGTCTTGTGCACTATTGCGGTGTGCACCCGTGCAGTCGTCTTGATTCTAAGTGGCACTGTGCTTAGTATGTGTTGCCCATTCGATGAAAGCTTGTAAAAGACAGGCCGTAGAAGTCAGTGAAACAGGTTGAGAGCTTCCCAAAAGGGTGGTGCTTCCCTGAAAATCATGCACGGCAGCCCTGACAGAAGGGAGTGGCTCGGCGATTGGAGCTCCGCCGAGTCCTACGGCCCATCCCCACAGCGGGATCCCTGGCCGCGGGCGGCTAGTAGTCACCAGGCGAACGCTACCCTCCACTACGCGCTGATCCTCCTCCTCCTCAGCCTTACTCCTCCTCCTTACTCCTCCTCCTCCTCCTCCTCCTCCTCCTCCTCCTCCTCCTCCTCCTCCTCCTCCGCCTCCTCCTCCTGCTCCTGCTTTCCCCCTTGTGTCCCCCTTGGCAGGCCGGGCGTTTCGCCTGAGACTTCCTTACCACTTATGACTCTGAAGCTTTACTAGTGAGAACAGCTTGACAGATGGAGGGCGGGTCGTTTTCAAAAGGTGGCTCTCGCCTTAGCGCCGCGCACATTCGCATTGAAAAATTGACAAAGTTTCACGGATTGAAGACGGGTGGTTTTCAAAATGTGGCTCTCGCCTTAGTGCCGCGCACATTCGATTTCAAAATGTGCAAGGGTTTCACGGATTGAGGGCGGGTCGTTCTCAAAAGGTGGCTCTCGCCTTAGCGCCGCGCACGTTCATTTTCAAAATTTGCAAGAGTTCCACGGATTCAGGGCGGGTCGTTTTCAAAATGTGGCTCTCGCCTTAGCGCCGCGCACATTCTTTTTCAAACATTTGCAAGAGCTCCACGGACTGAGGGCGGATTGTTTTCAAAATGTGACTCTCGCCTTAGCGCCGAACACGTTCGTTTTCAAACTTTGCAAGAGTTTCATGTATTCCCACGGTCAACGTACCAGAAATGGCGTTTTGGCAGGATTCTGGATTATGAGGGTGCAACACTTATGTTGATTCGCGGCGTTCAAATCTAAAAAATGGCGCTCTGGCACGGTTCTGCATCGTCAAGACGCAGCAGTCAGGTTGATACGTGGCGTTGAAATCCCGAGAACAATGTTGTGGCATGCCTCAAGATCTTCAAACAGTTGTCTTCTAACGAGGCAGTTCCCTCAATGGAATTGAAGCGTTGTAGGGGCCCATGAAGAGGGAGCTTGGAGGGAGGGTTAATTCCATCATCGTTGATGACTCTTGGGTTTACACTGGTCCTCCTCCTCCTCAGCATCTTCCTCCTCCTCCTCCTCCTCCGCCTCCTCCTCCTCGCTCCGCCTGCTTTCGACACACGCGGACCGCGGCGGCGGGTCTGCCGACGGACTCGTGCACGGCCAGCGTAGGCATCGGGGGTGGTGGTGGGAAATGCCATGGGCGAAGTGCCGTGGTCTGATGACTGGGCTTCTCAACCCTGGGGGCTTTACCCAGGAGATCTAAGAGAAGAGGGAGAGGGAGAGGGAGAGGGAGAGGGGGAGAGGGCAAGCTAGGTGCGCTCGCGTCATATCTGACGTCCTACCCTCCCTCCCATCCCTTACCATGGCGCTGATTTTCTCTATCCGCGGACGCGTGTCGTAGCGGACCTGTGGCTCCGCGCGCGCGTGCGTAGTGGGTGGTGGTGCACGTGCGTGCGTGCGTGCGTGTGTGCGTGGTGTGTGGTGGTGGTGGTGGTGGTGGTGTGGGTGGTGTGGGTGGGTGGTGGTGCTGGTGCTGGTGGTGGTGGTGGTGGTGGTGGTGGTGGTGGTGGTGGTGGTGGTGGTGGTGGTGGTGCGGCGCGGTGGTGGCGGGCGGATGGGCGCGCGAGAAAGAGGCCCGCGCTGGGGCGAGAACGCCATCCTGAACGACGGAGGCCAAACACCGATCCGAAAATGAGGCCCACGCTGCAGCGGGAGCACGATTCGGAACGATTCGGGAGCAGAAATGAGGCCGGCGCCTCAGCGAGAGCAGCATTTTGGAAAAAAACGTAGGCGAAAACGCAACTCACGGGAATCCTGTGTAAAAAACAGTGTGCGGGGGGGGGGTCTAATACTTTCAGGCCGCCACCGGGGGAAGAGGGAGAGTAGTATTCATATTGAGTAATTGTAGAGATGGGGAGGTCAGCGGCGAGCCTGGGGGGAAGTAAGGAGCGGGCCATCGCAAAGGGCTCGGAAAGTCCCCGGCCTTCTGAGAGGTTGTCCAGGCCTTCCCCGAAGAAGCACGGATCACTTCTCAAAAGCCGCGCGGGTTCCTGGGCAGTCACGCCGCCTTCTGAGGGCCTTCTGCTTCTCATTTCCCCCCCCCCCTCGCTCGCCGCCGAGGGGGGCAAGCTGGGCGCGCTCGCGCCACACCTGGCATCCCGCCCCTCCCACTGCGCTGGCTGTTTCCTCAATCCGCCGACAGGTGACATGGCGCACGCCATCGCGACAAAAGAAAGGGAGCTATGTACGCTGGAACAGGATCAGGGAGACGTAAGACTCTGGTTCGGGGGACTCGGGTTGGCCTGCCGGGGCCGTCAAAAAAATTGCGAGACCCGGTGCGAGATGTGATGCGAGCTCCCGCTGCAGCACGAAAACTGGACCGTCAAAATCCAGGACGGGCTCGTCAAAAACCGCTGGCAAATCACCCGAGTTCTGGCGAACTCGAGTCTTACGTTTCCCCGAGAGGTGGCGGAAAGAACGGAGGATGAGCAGGAAGTGCAGCCGGACCCGAGACAGAAGAACATCCTTCAAGAACTTGCCGACCCTCCACCAGCCAAGCTGAGGAGCAGTCGAGGGCACTCTCCCCCAGGATGCACAAGAACAGCCAACACACTCGAAGAACAGCAGGGTACCCTCCCCGAGCCGACCTCGATCTCATACCTCGGTCCGACTGTAGTGGAGAGGCAGAGGGAGAGGGAGAGGGAGCGGGAGACCGAGACTGAAGGGGCCCAGGGACACACAAATAAATACACAAATCCCAGGGTCTCCCATATTTTCCCATATTTTGGGGGTTTTCGTCTTCCCCCCCACTTCCTATAGTTTCCCATATTTTCCCGGCAAACGACAATTCATTGTCTGTGTTTCTTTCCCTCCTCAGAGACCCACGACCGACACCGCCATCGTTGTCAATCGGGTGTGACCCTGAAGGCCCCGACCTTTGCCCCGGGGCCGGCTCCCTTCTGACCAACAACCAGACCACCCAGCGACCGCTGGTTTCGCCG